GGGTAGAGGTATTGGACCACGGCATGCCATGTGGAGCCAGCGTGGCCCTAGGAGATAGATTCAAGGTCTGATCAGCCCTGAGTATTAGGTTTGGAGTCTCTATGGTGCAGGATGATAGCTTGGGTTTGCTGGGCCCAGGTGGCAGGTTTAAGATACATGTGACCCTAAAACTGGATTTGGGGTTTGGGAAGCTCTGTGTAGTTGATTTGGAGTCTTGCTAGCCTCAGGCCTGGGTTTGGTGTCCAGGCAGCCCCAAAGGGTAGATTTGAGGTCTGGGAGACTCCAAATAGGTGGGTTTGGGGCCAGGGAGCAAGCCATGAATGGCAGATTTTGTGTCCAGACAGCTTAGAATGATGGATTTGGGGGCTGGGCAGCCCTAGGTGGTGGATTTGGGTTGCAAGCAGTCCCAGGAGGTGGGTCTTGGCCACATTTTCCCTTTGGCCCTACAGAAGATGGTGGAGAGCCAACGGCAGAACATGGTTGGCGAGTTTGAACGTCTGCGTCGCCTGCTGGTTGAGGAAGAGCAGCGGCTACTGCAGAGACTGGAGGAGGAAGAACAGGAGGTGCTGCCCCGGCTACGAGAGGGTGCTGTGCGCCTCGGGCAGCAGAGCGCCCAGCTGGCCACACTCATCACTGAACTAGAAGGACGCTGCCAGCTGCCTGCACTGGGGCTGCTGCAGGTGAATGGAGAAGGGCCACACGGGATGTCCCCCAAAACCCAAAGCACACTGTGCCCCCAGGGCACACAGGCACACCCTCTACTACCCCATCTCCTCACATTGGGCTCCAGCTCTGCTAGCTGGTTTGGTGCCCAAATCAGAACCCTTGGGGCACTCTCCCCTGTGGCCTGGCAACCGACCAGGTGCCGGAGAGCATAGCTGTCTGTGTGAGGCTGGTTCACCTTTCTGTGGGCTCCCTGCCTCAATCTCCCTATCTTGCAATGGGTATATGTAGGATCAAGAGGCCCCATGCAGTCCAGGGGTATCGCCAGGCCTTCCCAGGGCTCAGCTGAGTTTCACCCCACAGACACCCTGAAGCTCAATCTCAGTCTGTGTCTGGTGTGGTGTAGACCTCAGACTGAGTGACTCTGACTCCTGTGTGGGAAAGGCTGTGTGCAGGGTTAGTCCTGAGAAGGAGGTGTGCTATATATTCTGGCATGGCCTTCCTGAGGGGTGACCACTACAAGGAGCCTGTGGACCCAGAAGATGTCTCAAGCCAGGAAGAGGTGTCCTGGGACCGTGACTTGTCTTTTGAATCAGGTGGGGCTAGATAGAACAGAGGAATGGGGGACAGGGGTCCCAGGTTAGTAAAGGTGTCCAGAAGCCTAAGGAGCCCTGGGAAGATGAAAGGTTTTGTGTTTTAATTTTTTTCTCAGTTTTTTGCTTGTTTTTGCTTTGTGGTTCTAGAGATTGAACCCAGGACCTTCACACTGAGCCATGTGCCCAGCCCTTTTCATTTTTGACACAGGGTCTCAGTAACTTGTCCAGGCTGAGCTCAAAACTGAGATCTTCCTGTCCCAGCCTACCAAATATTAGGGATTACAGGTATGCACCACCACGCCTGGCAGGTTTTAATCTTTTATAATAATTGTATGTATTTATGGGAATCGTGAGATGTTCATACAGTGTATTGACTGAGTTGGGGATGTTGGCACTTGTATCACCTAATCATTTGCCGTTTCTTCATAGTGAAACCATTCATTGTTTCTCCTCCAACTAATTGGATTTTATTTGACAGAGTGCTTTCCCTGCACCACTGCTATGGTAAATCCAGGGCTTCATACATTTGTTAGGTGACTGCTCACTGAGATGCACCCTAGCTATCTACTTGTTATCAAGATACAATACCTGCCACCTGCAACGTAAAGAAGCAAAGGTTTATTTTGGCTCACAGTTGTCAAGATTTCAGTCTGTAGCCATCTGCTCCAAGGCATGGCAGCATGGCAGAGGGGCATTGCAACGGAGGCTGGCTCACAGCATGGCAGGCAGGAAGCATTAAGCCATCGAGAGAAGGGGGAGACTTTCCAGGCCACACATGGTAACCCACCTCTTCCTACCAGACTTCGCCTCCCAACATCACACCCAGCTATAAACCCTCAGTGGACCAATCCAGTGTCACAGCTAGGATTTAGTGCCACACCCATGGTCCAGTGTCACAACTATGACATTACCCCAGAAGACCCACCTATGAGCACATGAAGCTCTGAGGAGACCCCTACATATAAACTGTAACACTAGACCTTTTGATTTTATTTGGAGACAGGGTTTTTGATAGGTTGCCTAAACTGATAATGAGCTTTCAACTCTCTTACCTCAGCTTCCTGACTAATTGGGGTTACAGGCCACAGTCACTTCGCTGTTTTGTAGGGTACCAGAATGGCAGGAAGGTCCTAGGCAGGAGAGTGACCTAGAAATGAGGGGCAGGGGTCTTCATGAAGATAAGATTAAGCTTCTTAGCTAAGATACTGTAGTAAGAGGTCATCATGGATTAGATGGTGAGGTGCAAGAAGAGCATCCAGGCATAAAGCAGAGGCCTTGTGCCCACAGGGAAACTGGGGCCAGTTCCTGAGTTGGTAGAGACACCTTTGACTAGTACCACTGATGCCTAGGGTGTGCCCCTGGGGTTCTGGGGGAGGCCCTGCATCCTGAGCATATGGAAGCACCCATGCCCAAGGCTCGTTTCTGACCCCACCTGTGTGTTTCTGCCGCCCTGGGCTGGGGGAGAGTAGTATGACAAGCATCTGTACTGAGCATGTGTTTCCTTTCTCTTCCAGGACATTAAGGATGCCTTGAGAAGGTATGAGCCATTGTCCCCTCCTGGACCGGTGGGTGGAGGTTGGGAGGAGGCAGCTTTGGTCACCAAGGTGAAGCTAGGCTGTCCCTTTAGGGTCCAGGATGTGAAGCTGCAGCCCCCGGAGGTGGTACCCATGGAGCTGAGGACCGTGTGCAGGGTGCCAGGGCTGGTGGAGACTCTGCAGAGGTTTCGAGGTGGGAATGGAGGGTTTGGGTAGACGGGGACCTGGGATGGGTGCTATGGAGAACCTATAAAGCCAGTGATGTGTCCTGTGGTCTGGCCACTGGCTCCCACAGTCTGGTCAGGACAACAGGTGGCCAGGAGAGCCCTACTCACACACACAGTCTCCAACTCCCTGGGCACCAGCTGTGGGCATCCAGCCATTCCTTTTGGTTCTGACATTGTCTCTGGATTCCCCTCTTCCATTTGCAAGACTCAGGGATCCCACACTTGTGTCCCACCTGCGGTAAGTCAAGATCCCATGCATCTCCCTCTTCCCCTTCAGTACCTTGGTAGAGCTTATGAGTCCCAGAAAAACACTGTTATTACTATAAAATGTGACTCTAAAAATGGGTAGGAGCAATGTGGGCATGATTTGTGGAGAGTTCTGCCCACTTGCTTGGAGGTAGAGATGCCCTGGGCCTCATCCAGCAGTTTTCATGGAGGTTCTCAATAGGCGCAGTTATTTAAATTGTTGGTCACTAGTGATGAACTCAACCTCCAGCCCCTGCGTGCTCCAGACATAGTTAGTGTGGGGTGTGGACCTTCCAAACCTCTCACCTGCTGCTGGTCTTCAAGTGAAAAGCCCTGCTCCAAGGCACATGTACTTAGGTGTGGCCGAAGGAGTTGCTTTGAGAACAGAAGCCAAGGACACAGCCCACCTCCAGTCTGCTCCTGCTGTGCTACTCCCAAGCCAGAGGTGTCTGGCCTTGACTTGTTGGCTACAGGCATAGAGCCAGTTCAGGCTGCAGAGGCGCTGACCACCAGTCACCTGGCACATGGTTGGGGGGAGAGGGAGAGCCACTCTCTCTTTCTGAAGGAGGACCAAGCCTGGCCAGAACTTAGATGAGCCAACAGACCACTCGAATTTCCTGTCCTGAGGCAGAATCAAACCAACCTCTAGCACATTCTGAGTGGCAGCTGCAAGTGGCAAAATGGTCTTGTGGGGCAGCAGTGGAGGCCAGCAGGGAGGTTATTGCTGATGGGGCCTGACCTGAGGTGCTGGCTTCAGTGCCACCACACCTGAGTGACCTCAGGCCTTTCTCCACAGGTGATGTGACCCTGGACCCAAACACCGCCAACCCTGAGCTGGTGCTCTCTGAGGACAGGAGGAGTGTACAGCGAGGCGACTTGCGGCAGGCTCTGCCTGACAGCCCTGAGCGCTTCGACCCAGGGCCCTGTGTGCTGGGCCAGGAGCGCTTTACCTCAGGCCGCCACTACTGGGAGGTAGAGGTTGGGGAGCGCAGCAGCTGGGCCCTCGGCGTGTGCAGAGACAACGCTAACCGGAAGGAGAGGGGTGAACTGTCAGCTGGCAATGGCTTTTGGATCCTGGTATTCCTGGGAAGCTACTACTCCTCTACCAAGCGTGCCTTCTCCCCGATGCGGGACCCTCCCCGGCGTGTAGGCATCTTCCTGGACTATGAAGCTGGACACCTCTCCTTCTACAGTGCGACAGACGGTTCGCTGCTCTTCATCTTCCCTGAGACCACCTTCTCTGGTGCACTGCGGCCTCTCTTCTCACCTTTGTCAAGCAGTCCGACCCCTCTGACCATTTGCCGGCTGAAGGGCGGGTCTGGGGACACCCTGGCTACCCAGTGATACAGACTTTCTCTGGAGTCCCTTTCCTTCTCCTGGCCCTGTTGTATTTTGGATCTGTTCATTTGAGACCCTGAGAGGATGGAATATATCCTTTGAAAGATGAAAGGAACACATAGTGCCTCTCTGAATGTGCTTGGGAAAACTGAATTTGGGGTGACTATAGGCAAGTGTGGAACCCCCCCACCCTAGCACAGAACTCTGAGGTTCAGAACCTGCCTGAGTTGTGCTGTCCTGGGGTCTTCAGCCTGCAGCCAGGTACCTACCCCATGTATCTGCCTTGATGAGCACAGAAGGGAGGATCAGGGCTTGATTCCATAGATGGGAGTGCTGGTGGCAGATATCACTACCCTGAAAGTGGACACTGCAGAAGAGGACAGAGCACCCAGTACTTCTGGAAGATGAACTGGGGTGGAGGTAGCCAGGGAGAACTGCACAGATGCCCATGATCGACACTGGCAGAGACTACCTGAACACATGTGCGAGGGGGCAGTGGTGACCTTGGGTTGTGCACAGCTCTGAAGCCTTTGAGGACCTCTGGGGGCTGGTTTGGCTATGCAGGTACCTCCCACGGCCCTCCTCTAAGGACTCCCAGGTATGTCTCACCTCATGGCCTGCCTTACAAGGAGCCTGAGCCTACAGATGCAGGTGACTGCTGGAGTGTGTGATTTGAGGGTTTAATCCCTCTACTTTATTTATTGTAAGGATAGCATTTTCCTAAATAAAAGTTGTTACCTGCAATTGTGTGCCCTGTTTATGCTATGGATAAGTGACAGGAACTGAGAGCCAGGCTCTAGGGAGAGGGTGGCAAGGGTATAGGATCCTGGCTAGTTAGCTTCCCACCCAGGAGCTAAGGCAGTGTGGGCTCCTCCGGCTCTTCAGCATGTGTGTTGAACATTTGCAGCTACTAAAGGAGGTCTTTACAGGTTACCTGGTGAGTGTTTCCTATGTTCAAGGAGAACTTGCCCTGCATCACAGTACATTTGCATTTTTCCCAGGACTGAACTTTATTGGTAGATGGCTGCTTTTCACCACTTTGAACCAGCCATCAGCAGTGAGAGCTGCTTACACATAAGCATCAAGGGAGCCCATTTTGGGGAAACTTCTCCCTGAGAAGTGTGGCTTCCTTTCCACATGCAGCTTGGCTATTCAGTGTCAGAGACAGAGAACAGTCTATGCTGGGTTATGCTGATGCTCTTAATGCTCAAACACGGCCCTGGAACCCAGGTAGAAACAACTTTGGGTGAGATCAAGGAAAGCATGGTGCAGAGCACAGTGCTGGCCATAGCTTGAGAGAAGCCTGGACAGCACTTCAGCAACCGCCATGACTCCCTGGATAGCACACACTGATACCTCCCATCAGGTGTTCCTCATATGCAGACACTGGTGGCCAGGCAGGGTACAGATGGAAGGAACACATCGCACCTGACCAGGGAGCCTGTGTCAGTGGATGACAACGAACTACTTGAGGTGGGTATCCCACTAGCAGTGGTGAGCCCGACAGTAGTAGCACTAAGTCCTTTCACTAGCATTGTTATCTACTAGCAACTGAGTCTCCCAAGAGCAATGGTGAAACCTACATTGCTTTCAGTGGGTCCTACACTACCAGTCGAGTCCCCCAGTAGCTACACTGGCTGTTATGGGTCCTCCCCTAGCACTAGTGAGTCCCTCGATAGCAGTAGTATATACTCCACTAGCAATAGTTCATTCTTCAATAGAATTGGTAAATCCTACACTAGCCTTGGTTAGTTATTCACTAACAGTGGAGAACCCTGTGCTGATAGCTGTGAGTTTTTCACTAGCAGTGTCAAGTATTTAATGTACTGAGAGTTTCAAGTTTCAGGGGAGACTGGACTTGGACTTCTCAGCCCTGCTGAAATTGTTGACTTTGGCAACTCTTACCGACAGACTAAATGCATTTTACATAGAGATGAACAAGAATAATTTGGAAGTGAATGTTGGACTCTCAAGAAATTCATTTAAAAAATAAAAAAAAAAAAAAGAGAGAGAGGGATTCATTTGCTCACAGATGGGACTTTTGGAGAATTGGACCATGGGAGTGCTATAGCTGACTTGTCATTAGGAGACGGTACCTGACTCGGGGAGACAGGTCACTAGGGCACGACCTGGGAGGGTGTATCTGCCCCTTTGGCCCCTCTCTTGTCTCTGCTTCCTGACCACTGTGATGTGAGTACTCTTCCTCCCCTAGGTCCTTTTACCAAGCCATTTCTGTGTTTGAGCCTGCCCAACCTGGACTGAAACTTCTAAACCATGAGCCAAATCACTAAGTGGCAGGTGTAGGGTAATTTGTCTCAGTGACAAGGACAGTGACACTACATTAATATGTTAGAGGTGGACAACATATAAAATGGGATATTAAAAAGGTCAAAATGTAGGGAGGAATGGTGTGTAGTTGTAAAATTTTCTTTTTTTTTTCAAAGTTTTATTGATAAACAGCAATGAGACAGTTTCAAATCCAATCGGAAGTACAGTTTCAACAAATAATACACTGCATATATTCTTCTTAGTGGTTAATTGCTGTACAAGAAGTGGACTTGTGATCCTA